GGTGGCGGGGTGGTCGCGGTCTGTGTGTGCCTCCTCTCTGTGTTGTGGCTGGAGGTCTCAAAGCGGGTATAGAAGGTGTTGAGGTCATCCAGCAGACTGTCTGTGGAGCTGATGATGCTGGTGGTGGTCCTGTAGTCTGTGATGTGCTGCAGGCCTTGCCACATCCATCCAGAGTCAGCAGTAGAATAGAAGCCATTCAGCTTTTCTCTGTACTGCCTCTTGGCCGCTGTGATGGAATAAAATAAATAGGGTGGCACAGTACTGTGGTGGTCAGTGCTGTCACCACCACAGAGTGGTTGTCTGTGTCTTTGTCATTCTTCAGTAGACTGAAGACCTGTCCAGGGTGCACCCCACCACTCACCCAGTGTTGCCTGAAATTGGTTCCAGCAGATAATGAATAGATGGTTTCCTTTGTCTCGCAGACTGTCCAGGTTTGAGGAGTCCTCAGGTGGTTCGACACTTACGTTTGCAGGCCCATCTGCTGCTTGGAGAAGCAACCTGTGAGCGTCGAGGAAGGTTGGGAGAGCTCCTGTTGATCCTGCCTTCCCTGCAGAGTGTAGCCTGGCAGATGGTGGAAACTCTCCACTTAGCACAGCTGCTAGGTGAAGCCAGAATGGACAGCCTGTTGCAGGAGATGCTGCTGGGGGAGGCAGCCAAAGCAGGACAGAGACTGTGCACAGGTATTTTTCTTACATTTATTTGTAAGAAGTTGGCTAAAAGTCATCAGTGATGTCAAACTTTTAACTGTATTGAGCAGTATTGAGCTTGTGCAGTACAGAACCATAGTCAAGACATTTCAGTTACATATGTAGTTGTACATTTAAACTGACCTCTAGCATTGATAATGTGCTATTTCACATATTCACATGGTTAATCTGCTCTCACTTCCAATGTTGTCTGCTCCAGTTTGTCCTCTTCATTTTAGTGATTGCCTGACTGAATACCAGCAAAGAGCTTTAGCTGCAAACTTCACTTCTGTCATCTCTCAAGGTTCAACATGTGAGTGCTCACAAACCAACCTATCACAACAGTTTTACACTGGGCTATATAAAAGTACATATAGTGTATGTGTGTGAGATTTTTCAGTGGGTAACAATATACATGCTTTTATTCCATATAGTATTCTTATACAATCCAAATGGCTTCCACCATCAAACTAACAAATATATTCATCTCAGTATTTAGAGGGTCTCACCTGATATTTGTTTCCATGAAAATTAAATGTACTGATAGTCACTGAAGCCTTATGTGCTAAATGCCAAGCTGATGTCTGTTTGTTTTCCCAGCAGCTTCCCTGCTGCCCACACAGACTGGCACTGAGGTGTACAGACATGGTGATGCTGCCAACGTGCCCACAGCATAGCAGAGGCACCTGTCCACACTGAGAAGCAGCTCAGGAAGCAACAGTTTCTGAGACCAAACACAGACTAACATATAAACACTCAGCCCCATGGATAATATGTGCTCATGCTGTTCCGCATGCATAAGAGTACAGTTATTTAGTACAGTAAAAAGTTATTAAAATGATTCATCTAAAGAGGTTAAGATTGCACTGAACCATAACCAATCATAATTCACTCATTTAAAACACAATACAGGATGTTTGACTTGTATTTAGACCTAAAGTGCAAGACCCAACATTTCTCAGCAGAGGGCACAAAAAGCCTGCTCTAAAACATTGGTGTGCATTTGTGAGGCAGGTTTTTCTTTGAAAATATAAACCTGTACTCATGATTTTGGTGTCAACAATTTGTCATGTAAATCCGAATAAAGAAATGCCTGTACTTCATATAACAGGGATTAACAAAACTCAACATTCTAAGTGTTTTATCAGTATAATGTGGACATATACAGTAGGTAAAAAAAAAAAAACATCTGACTTTTGACTTAAAGCAAACTGAGCATGAGTTTTAAGTAAACACTAAACATTCATTTTAGACTTTCCAGTCAAGACTTTCCAATAAATACAGGAACACTGGTGCCACTGGTGATGACCAGTTAAGGCCTTGATGTGATGAGAGATGAGCAGACTGAACAGCACAAAAGCTCTAAAGGGCTGCAATGACTCAGAATAACGTGATGGCAAAATTGCATGTTCTACAATGAAACCCTTTCTCTCTCTAGCTATGCTGTTTGTTTTTACATCTTAATTACCGAATCCCTACAAAAATATAGAACAAAACCCAGCCTTTATTCTCCCCTGCTGCCACTGCCAATCATATCCACAACAGTGGGTTTAATCTAAACAGCATATTGGTTGTAACATGCTCTGTTCTGAAGGTTGAGCAGCCATGCTTTCTTAAACAATACTCATGCATCACAGAAACCAGGTTAGCTAAATAGTGGTGTGTTCCAAATGAGACAGGTCTATGACATTTAGGCTTCACCCAATCAGAGGAGGAATCCTGATGTTGAAAGACATTATAATTGTACTGTATATACATCCATATAGCTACATCGTTCAATGCAATAGTTCCTCAGACGGTGGAAGTTTTTCAGAGTTTACATTTCTCTGACATCATGTACAGTGTGTACTCGGCCTCCTCTCTGATCAGCCACATACGCTATGTTCATACAGACCAGGAAGATTCCTAAGTGCTATAACAATGGGACCCCATATGGGATGGCATGAAGCAGGTCTGGTGACAATGGATTGTCCAGCTACCTTAATTTTAAGTAAATATCCACATAAAAGGACAAAGAGTTCCTGCAAGAAAAGTTCATTACACACACACTCAAGAAAAAGATCCAAAGAAATCAATTATATTTTGACTTTTCGATATGTAGTTAAAACATTCTGCCTTTATGTTTCTTTGTGTGCTCTCCATTTGATTCGGGGAGAGATTCTAACCAGCCAGTGTAAAAATGTGAGCTTGCATTTTATGTATTATCCTGGAACTGACCTCCAACATGCTTCATTCTCTCATGCTCACTGCTTGCTTCAATAGACTCCAAGCCACCATTATGCTGAATAAATTCAGTGAATGATAAAGACTATTGTTTTATTCTGTAAGAAGAAACTTGGAGAACAAGACTGGAAATGTGCATAATGGGCATTCTCTCTTTCACATTAAAAAAAAAGCCTAGCATGATGTTTTATATGAAGCCAGAACAGGGTTCCTTTGAAAAGGGTTTACAATATAATCCTAGTATTACTCACACAATACAGTCTAAGCAAACTAAACGTTCATGCAGGTTAAACCTTCAGTGTCTCAGTCTAACGCTGTCCATGGAATCATTTTTAAGAGGACAGGTTAGACCGTACTTGCTCAGTCACAGCTATCTGTCAAATAACTAGACTTAGATGGTTCATTTTAGGCCAGCGGTTTAGTTTTGAACAAAGGTTACTGTAAGTGTTGTATCAAAGATGCCATTGCTTTGCAGCTCACTAAACGTTCCTCAGATCACACAACAGAACATTCTTACTCACTCTCACATTCACTCAGACAGTTAATTAGGCTTTTAAACAGGAACATGAGAGAGCTGAAAATGGGTTCCTTGTCATACTCAGGTTTCGCTGTTTGTCGCTGTTAAGAGGTTCAGCTGTGACACTGCTGTGATGTTGGTTTCCTTCCCAGAGGCCTGCTACGCTGGCTGTCTATTGATCTGTCAAGCTCAGCAGATCAGTGTTAAAAGCTGAACATTTGCTCTCAGCTGTCAGTGTCATGGAGGCAAGGCTTATGTCTATACTGATATCGTTCATTTTCACAACAACATGCAAGCTCTTTATATTAGTTCCTCTTTCTGTATTAACAGCTGTCTGTTGTGAGAATTTGAACCAGGAGACTGGCCAACATCTTGGAGCATCTGCTTGGGTGTAAATATTGCGTAATGTGAAAATGCTGGCCATAGAGCTACTTGAGGGCTATGCTGCAGTACTATTTAATTATGCTGGTGTGGGGAAAGTGTGGGGGAACACTGACATGTGAAAATCTGAAGTGTTTAACTTCTGATGTGTGTTGACAGTGTGCGTCACATAAAACAGTTAGCTGGTAAACAATATGGATTACTTGAAAACAAGCTTTCTAAACATACTGAGAACAGAGTAACAAAATACTGGTGCCAGTCGCTTTTATTTTGAAAGCAGTATTGTGCAGACACATTCCTATAACTCACAATAACAAAGGAAAATATTTCACAGACACCAGATGAGCACACCTTGTTGCTATTTAAGATTCAAAACTTTACACAATGAGGCAATAGAACCTACTTTCCATTTCACAGCCAATTTCTCTCTTTAATAACATTACATACTGAAAATAAGATGACATGTTGAAAAAGTATTATTTTCAGATGTGACTTTAAGATTTGTTCAGCTGGAAAATTTGGATGGATTTGATTTGGATGGAATTTCCAAGATGACTGAGCATGCTTTGGGCACTTTACAGAAGGGGCACATTTCTCAAATAGGTAAATGATCATTTAAATCAACTTCAGTGTTTACAGCAAACATCAAAATATGTCAGAGGAACGTCAGGTGAGAAATATATTTGCTGTCCTGTTACAGCCCTAAATACAACTAGACCCAGGGGTGAAGAAGAAGAAGAAGAAAAAAACAGAATGTGAGAACAAAAACAGAAACTTTGGCTCTGACTGAAATCCTTGAGTCCACTGCTGTCACTGCTCTTGTCTGGTGTCCAGACAGGCAGGAAACATGGCGTACAGCACCTCCAAAAGTGGGATGAGTACAGACGCTGCTGAAACACTAGCACAAATTCTCACTTCAGTTCAAACTGGGATTTTCCATAGGTCCACCACACTAACTCTTCCCCTTTCTGGCTATATAATTCACATGGACACAGCAAGAACATCTAAGAACTAATAGCTATAGATAATAGATCAGGAAGTGTGTATTGCCAAAACATCTCAGGCTACTTTGTCTTGTGGATTTACAGTCACTCCACCTAAACAGCTGTGCAGAGAGCTGCCCTCATTGTGGTCTGCACTTCAATCTGGGACCCTGTGAAGAGAGGTAGTACTTGAATGTTCAACCATGTGTTAATTAGTTGAGTTATTCCAAATATTTCCAAGAAGTTTCTTTTTGAAGGATAAGCAAATATTGTGGCAGGAAAATATGTGCTGTCAGTCCCACACAAATTATCCCCTTGAAAAAAAATTGTAGTCATGCTTTTTTTTTTACCCTTTGTTCTTGAATGTCAATCCAAACAAAAGAAAGAAAGATTCATTCAGCTGGAGCACATTGTTTGCAGACTTGTAAATTGGAGCAAGACAAGAACAAAAGGAACGTACTTTCTGAGTACTCTGAGAAACCTGTGTTTACTGTACTGTCTAATAAATATCCTCCACTTTCAGTAAAGTGAGGGAGACAGACAGAAATTGGGATGCCAGTACAAATTCAAGCTTCAAACAGTACTCCACTCTTAGAACAGTTAACTATAAAGTAATCCTTACGTAAGCTCAGTTGGCCAAATACAATTTATAAGATGGCCTGAAAGCCCCCTTATCATGAACATATAGTGCCTAAGCACCTTTTTATGAGCGTCTGCTTTAGGCACAAAGTTTCATGAGGCTCTTATAAATGTAGATGACTTGGCAGAGCAAAAATATACAACTAACTGATACATATCAACAAAGCAAACTATGAAAAGAGAGTCATCAGGCCAAATATTAGGTTTTACCTGACCTTTGATTTATGATGCTGCAACCCAAGTAGTTGATAAAAGTCATTTAAAATAACCAGATGACTGATGGCAAAAGTCCTGGTGTGATCTGGAAGTTATTGAACTGGCCACTGCTACTGTGTTGCCTGGTTTGTCTGGCAAAAGAGTTCAGACAGAGAGGAGAGTCTGTGCACAAGAAAACAGCTGTGTTTGCTAAGTCTGAGCAGAGACGTGTGTTGTCCTTTCTCTGTATACCCTTCAATAACTCTGCAATGCTGAATTTTAGCCAGACTTGTTGCTCTATTTGTGAATGAGCTGTATATTCAAAGTAGAGCAAACCACACACACACAGAGGGAGAGAGAGAAAGCAATGGAGATGTGTGACAGGCAGCTGACTTTTTGGGTTGTTAGCCACCATGATGGATGGTTGAATGACCAACCATAACATTCTGAGCACTGACAGGTGAAGTGAAGAACTGACTACCGGTATCCTGTTACATTGGCACCTGTCAGTGTGTGGGGTATAGAAAGCCTGAGGTTGACCTACTGTAGATACCTTTACATTTCATTCAATTTTTTCAAAAAATTCCATTGTGAATCTTTGTTAAAATGGGTGAAAATGAGAAAAACTGTACACTGCTCTCTATGAAGAGAAACGTTCTGCAGCAATAGTGCTAATATCACACCTAGTGTTGAATTTGACAAAAATTCTCTGTAACCTGTCCTCATGACCAGTTTTCAC